CACGACACGACACACGACACGCCACACGACACGACACGACACGACACGCCACGCCACACGACACGACACGACACGCCACGCCACACGACACGACACGCCACGCCACGACCAACGACACGACACGCCACGCCACACGACCAACGACACGCCACGACACGACCAACGACACGACACGCCACGCCACGCCACACCACACGACACGCCACACGACCAGTGACATGAAGAACGACACGACGACACGCCGCACGACCAACAACACGACCCATCCAACGCGCACGGTCGTACTACCTGACTCGTCCTCAACTGGTACAGCCCCTTCTCATCAATGGTCTGGCGTGATGGGGCACACCATTTTTCGTGTCGTTGGTCGTTGGTTGTGTCATGTCGTTGGTCGTTGGTTGTTGGTCGTTGGTCGTGTCATTGGATGTGTTGTGTTGTTGGTCGTGTTGTGTCGTGTCGTGTCGTGTCGTGTCGTGTCGTGTCGTGTCGTGTCGTGTCGTGTCGTGTCGTGCTGTGCCGTGTCTGTCTTGTCACCGTAGCGCAGCAGCGCTTGTGGGATCAAGAGTCGTTAAGCTGTTAAGGTGGTCTAAATTGGCGAAAAGCTTGTTTTGGTTATCGTGACCGTTGCAGGGGTTTGAATTTTTGGCGACTGGCGAGCTCGACGGGTACGTTGGTTGCCTCCTCTTCTGGTGTGTTTCTTTGCACAACCTCGTCCTGAACACACCACAGACCTCTCGTGAGATACCCCAACATCACACCATGCTGGCTACTCAGGATGATACGTTCGCATCTGTGACGATTCGCCGCCGCCGCTCCTCCTCGAGGAGGAGGGCTGCCCCTCGTCACAGGCTACACAACGGTTTGGTTGTGCTGGACATGGATGAGACTCTACTCCATGCCCAACCCGTCATCGGCTGTTCGCCTCGGCCGGACAGCCGCGTGATCCAATTCGAGTTCAAGGAGCAACTGCTCGCTGTCGACTACGTTACGCGACCAGGTGTCTTCCCCTTCCTCGACCAGCTCCTCGTCGAGGGCTACAAGCTCGCTGTCTTCACCGCCGGCATCCAGCCCTACGCCGATGCGGTGCTCGACAGTTTCGACCCCACCGGCCGCTACTTTGGTCGAGGAGATCGCTTCTACCGTCAGCACATGGTCGGTGGGAAGAAGGACCTACGCGCCGTCTTTGGCGACGACCTCTCCGGCGTGGTGCTCATCGACGACAACGCCCACGACATCGTCCCCGAAGATCAGCTCGACCACGCCGTCTGTGTCGACCACTGGCGTGGAGACCCATCGACGACACCCCAGGCCCTCGCAAGTCTCAAGAGAGCAGCCAAGGCCCTGGCCAACAAGCAAAGTACGTATCAGTTGCCCCCAACTGCTTCAAAGCTCTCTCTCTCTCGTTCCAGATCTTCTTCAGAAATCCAAATCCCGAGAAAGGATTTGGTAGATGATGAATCTTGTCGTTGGAGATGTAGATGGATGTCAATCAATCTCCGTCTCCATCTTTATCAAATTGTTCCATTTCTGCTTCAACTACTCCTCGGGCTCTTGCTAATGTGCACACATTGTCTTTCATTAGGTGTCCGTAATGGTCAAGTGCTTGCCAATGATGTTGATGAGGATGACTACGACCAACTCGCTCAAGCTGCAGCTGCAGCTGCAATGTCGGATCTCGAGCGTCAACACAAGGAGGCCAAGGCTGCCATCGAGGAGACCCGTTGGAGACGAGCTAGCGCCATGCGCGCCTGGCTGATGGCTGTGGCCAGGGAGAGGTGCAAGTGGGCGGCTGTCAAGAAGCAGGTCGGTGTCGAGGAGGTCCGTGTTGAGGAGGTCTGCATCGAGGAGGTCCGCATCGAGGAGGTCGGCGTCGAGGAGGTCTGCATCGAGGAGGTCGGCGTCGAGGAGGTCTGCGTCGAGGAGGACTTCAATCAAGGGAGATTCATCTTCAACTTCTTCATCACCCTCATCATCATGATTGGAGCTTGGGTGATGTGGAATGGCCACGCCGAGGAGGGCCTCACCAAGGAGGAGGAGGTGCCCATCAAGGAGCTGGCTGTCGAGGAGGTCGGCATCGAGGAGGTCGGCATCGAGGAGGTCCGTGTCGAGGAGGTCGGCGTCGAGGAGGTTGGTGTCCAGGAGGTCAGCGTCGAGGAGGTCGGCGTCAAGGAGGTCGGCATCAAGGAGGTCAGCGTCGAGGAGGTCAGCATCAAGGATGTCAGCATCAAGGAGGTCAGTGTCAAGGAGGTCGGCGTCGAGGAGGTCAGCATCGAGGAGGTCAGCGTCAAGGAGGTCAGCATCAAGGAGGTCTGCATCAAGGAGGTCCACGTCAAGGAGGTCTGCATTGATGAGGTCCACATCAAGGAGGACCACATGGTCAAGCCCCATCAGAGGAGGAGGCCAGCGAGAGTGAGGCCTGCAGCAACCTTCAAGGGATGGCTCTTCTCAAGTGCATCATTGATGTGGCGTACCATTGGCCTGCCATAAGTACGTCATCTCTTCAAGGAAGGTTGTGTTGTTTGATTACTTACCTAGCTCCATCTGTGTAGTATCCCAGCAGGACCTGCCTGTTGGCTGACAGCAAGCCAAGTGCTTATCTTGAAGTGATCTCAGCAACCTTTGTGCCATGGTGACGTGGTGGCGTGGTGTTGTGCTGGTTGCTGAGAGAGCTGAGAGGTAAGTGCTCAGTGAGCTGTTGGTTGGCAGTTGGGTGAGGTGGCCAATCCCTTCAACTTCAAGGTCAGCATTCAAGCATGGCTCTGTCAGTCAAGCTCAGTTCAGCGTGCAAGCGCAGCTCCATTGGTCAAGCTCAGTTCGGCGTGCAAGTGCAGCTCTGCCGGTCAAGCTCAGTTCAGTGTGCAAGTGCAGCTCTGTCGGTCAAGCTCAGTTCAGCGTGCAAGCGTGGCTCCGTCAGTCAAGCTCGGTTCAGCGTGCAAGTGCGGCTCCGTCGGTCAAGCTCAGTTCGGCGTGCAAGCACGGCTCTGTTGGTCAAGCTCAGTTCGGCGTGCAAGCGTGGCTCCATCGGTCAAGCTCAGTTCGGTGTTCAACACAAGGTATGCTTTGATTGTGCAAGACTGAGCATGGATCACTTGACGCTGTCCGTAAAGAGAGACGGGCAGCACCTTTCTTTTATTCTGTTTCCCAGCAGGACCTGCCTGTTGGCCGACAGCAAGCTGAGTGCTTATCTCAAAGTGATCTCAGCAACCTTTGTGCCGTGGTGGCGTGGTGTTGTGCTGGTTGCTGAGAGAGCTGAGAGGTAAGTGCTTGGTGAGCTGTTGGTTGGCAGTCAGGTGAGGTGGCCGATCCCTTTGACTTCAAGGTCAGCATTCAAGCACTGCTCTGTCAGTCAAGCTTGGTTCAGCGTGCAAGTGTGGCTCCATTGGTCAAGCTCAGTTCAGTGTGTAAGTGCAGCTCCATCGGTAAAGCTCAGTTCAGCGTGCAAGCGCAGCTCCGTCGGTCAAGCTCAGTTCAGTGTGCAAGCACAGCTCCATTGGTCAAGCTCAGTTCAGTGTGCAAGCGCAGCTCCATTGGTCAGCTCAGTTCAGCGTGCAAGTGCACCTCCATCAGTCAAGCTTGGTTCAGTGTGCAAGCGTGGCTTGGTTGGTCAAGCTAGGTACGTTGGTCAAGCTCAGCTCCATCATCAAGCTTGGTACGTTGGTAAAGCTCAGTACGTCAGTCAAGCTCGGTTCCATCATCAAGCTCAGTACATTGTTCAAGCTCAGCTCCATTGTCACACTCAGTCACTTATTCATACTCCCTTCCACCATCAGGCTTGGTGCATTGTTCAGGCTTGGTTCTATCATCAAGCTCAGTATGTCAGTCAAGCTCAGTTCCATTGTCAAGCTTGGTACGTTGATCAAGCTCAGCTCCATTGTCAAGCTCAGTCACTTATTCATACTCACTTCCACCATCAGGCTCAGTGTGTTGTTCAGGGTCAGTTCCATTGTCAAGCTTGGTATGTTGGTCAAGCTCAGTTCCATCGTCAAGCTTGGTATGTTGATCAAGCTCAGCTCCATTGTCAAGCTCAGTGCATCATTCAAGCTCGGCTCCATCATCAGGCTCGGTGCGTTGTTCAGGCTCAGTTCCATGGTCAAGCTAGGTATGTCAGTCAAGCTCAGTTCCATCATCAAGCTCGGTACGTCGATCAAGCTCAGCTCCATCATCAAGCTCAGTCACTTATGCATACTCCCTTCCACCATCAGGCTCAGTGCGTTGTTCAGGCTCGGTTCTATCATCAAGCTCAGTACATCAGTCAAGCTCAGTTCCATTGTCAAGCTCAGTACATCAATCAAGCTCAGCTCCATTGTCAAGCTCAGTCACTTATTCATACTCCCTTCCACCATCAGGCTCGGTGTGTTGTTCAGGGTCAGTTCCATCATCAACAACGCCACGAGGACACAGGATTATCTGTTATATGTTATATGTTATATGTTACACCATGGACCTTCACCTTCACTTACGACCCAACCACAGGCTATCTGTTATATGTTATATGTTATATTTCAGGTGGAACGTGAGAGACGCGGAAGCTATCTTCAACCATCGCCAACGAGTGACACGACAACACGGACGCCTCGGGTCTTCGCCAACGCCACTGATCTTCGCGCGACGACGACGACGGACGACACGGACACCACCAATCTTCATTGACGATGACACGGACGCCACCGATCTTCATCAACAACGACAACACGGACGCCACTGGTGGTTCGCCAACAACACCGACACCAGGTGTATCTTCATCGACTACGACACAACACGGACACCACCAGTCTTCTTCGATGACGACGACGACACGGACACCATCTTCATCCACGACGACAGGGATGCCATCTTCGTCTGCGACACAGACGCCCTCTTCATCGACGACGACGACGACGACGACGACGACGACGCGGACTCCCTCGTCTTCGTCTCTCTCTCTTTTTCTTTTTTCTTTTCTTTCTTCTCTTCTTCAGCTGAAATAATAAAAAAAAAATAATCTATTTGAAGAGGAGTCTCACTCGAGAAATGGATCACAAATGCCAGCGCGCGCGCATCTATGGGACGTAAGTGGAGTCGAGATCGATCAACCGGGTCATCCACAAGCCCAAGCTAACCAAATCGTTCATTGTCATGCTCGATTTCGAATCTTTGGCTTCGAAAACTTCAAGGTAGAGAGCTCGGCTCTTTCGATTTTAGTCATGCTCATGAAGAAGAAGAAGAAGAAGAAGAAGAAAAGGGCGCAAGGCCCTCCGGGGGCCGGGTCATCCTGATCCAGAGCTGGTGCGGCTCCTTCGTCGACCTGGGGACACGCACGACACGTGGGGGATCGGTCAGCTAACAAACGCGGCCGGCCGCACAGTCATATTGGTGGTGTTATCGCGCGCGCGTAGGATCTATTACGACATGCGCCGCCAGGCCGAGTACGAGCGCAGGAGGAGGGAAGAGGGCCAAGCGACGCGAGGAGGAGGCGGCAACGACGCGCACGGGGAGGCCGAGGAGAAGCGGCGGCAGGAGAGCAGACCGGGACCGGGACCATGCGCGCCGAATTGTACAGAACGACGGGGGACGCTCAGGAGCGGCGAGGCCGCGCCGGTGCCCGCAGAGGCCGATTCGGTGCTGTTTTTCGAGGTGAACAGGCGCGCCTGCCCGACATTGTGCTGGAGACCGACGCGATGGAGGCCATCACCGAGACGGGCCAGGACGCCGACAAGGTGGTGCTCTACACCGCGAGCCTCAACAAGTACCTGCAGCCGGTCAAACCGGCTGCCCAGTGTGACTCCCCGCGTGTGGCCTCCCTGCGTCGACGCGTCGTCGCGAGGCTACAGCTCACAACAACAAACAGCACACGCCCATGCACCGCACGCAAGGCATCGAGTACGACACCCTTTTTCCCCCAATGTCACTCGAGTGAGAGATGATGATGATGATGATGGTGATGATGTGAATGGCGCAGGGACATTCCCGAAATCGTGAGCTCGGCCGACATGCTCAAAATACTCGTTCGAGGAGTATGCCCGCGCCAACTTCAACACATGATGAAGCGCAAGAGCGCCATCTCGCTGCGCCGGCAGAAGTCCTTCTCAACGCAACAGATCTGCGCCTACTCCAAGGTGTGAACCTTCTTATTGGCATCATCGTCATCATCATCATCATCATCATCATCATCATCATCATCATCATTCCCGTGACTTGTTCTCACCCGTGTTCGTTTCGAATCGTGCCAGAAACTGGACTTCCCGCTGCACAAGACCAGCAGCGTGAACTTGGTCAATCTGTCGCTGACGCTCTTCCGCAAGCTCACCCGCTTCACCGACGGCGAGGAGAGCTACCCCGTCCTCAAGGACATCTTCGTGGCCGGTATCGCGCGTCCCGCCGCCTTCAGAAACGAGATCTACGCCCAGGTCATGAAGCAGGCTACCCTTCAACTCCTCCAAGTATGTTATTCCTTCCTCGGGAGGGAGGGAACGCTGCGTGCGTGGGAGGTGCTGGCCGCGCGTACTGTGGCGTCTTCCCGCCGACTGTGACGTCTTCCTCCCGTATCTGGGCTCCTTCCTGCTCGAAGCCGCCGCGATTCCTACGGAAGTCGGCGCGTTCGCGCGCTACGCCCACGACAAGCTCAAGCTGCTGGCCTACCGCGTCAGGCAGAAGGAGAGAACCGGCAGTACCCCCCCCCGTCCATGCTCGAGTTCGAGGCCAACAAGGAGCGAAGGCAGATGCGCGTCTGGTTCACGCTGCCGAGCGGCAGCGACGCGCGCGGTCCAGATCGACCCCGTGTCCACGGCCGCCGATGTCTTCACGCCGCTCACCACCAAGGCCGTGCGGCTGAACGACCCTTCGGAGTTTGCCATCTACGAGGTCTCTACCCTGCGAGCAACCTCGGTACGGCTCGACTTTACTTTGATTTTCCCGCCACCATTGATTCGTTGTGTTTCTAACACACACACACACACCACATACACCACACCACACACACGAATCCAACACAACCAGAGCGGAGCCTTGCGCCCAACGATTTCATTGCCGACATCCTGTCCAAGGCCGAAAAGTATGGCCTCGAGGTGAAGCTGTTCTTGAAGAAGAAGAAGAAGAAGAAGAAGTGGCTCGACCCCGCCTTCCTCTCCGAAGATCCCTCTGAAAACAGGCTCGAAGTGTTCCAGCTTCACACCTACATCCTCAGGTAATACTCATACTTTATCTACATTATAAATATAAATATAATATATATATATATATATAAACGTGTATACATACTCGTGTATACATAGCCCATCATGGTGTTGTCATGTGCGTCGACAGTGAGCGCTTGCCGATCCGCGAGAGCGACGTCGCGGGGATTGCTGCGGCGGCCAAGGTGATCATTGACGGCGCGCACCAGACCCTCGCAACCAACCCGGGCAGCATGTACGGCCCTTGCCCCTTGGACGCGTCACTGGCCGCGCGACCATCATTTTCTGTTTGTCCGGTGTGTGGGCTGGTGTGGGTTGTGGATGCTGAACTTCTTTTCTCCTCGCCCGGTCGGATGCAGTGTGCCTTCGCTGGTGCCTCCGGCACATATGGCCACCAAGTCTGCCGGTGAGTGGGGCATCCTCATCGAAACCGAAGTAGCAAAGATCAAGAGGATGAAGATGGTACCCACCTGCTATTCGACGAGCAGAGATGTCGTGTGTGTGTGTGTCGTGTGTGTGTGTGTGTGTCGTGTGTGTGTCGTGTGTTCTGTGTGTTCTGGTGTATGCTCAATCAATTACTGACGTTGCGTGTCTCAAACAATCAAGGACGATGACAACAACATTCTCATCCCAGTATCTGAAACTGGCGAAAGTGCTGCCCTTCTACGACTGGTTCGACAACACCCCCGCCCCCCAAAAAGAGCATCTGCTGCTCTCTTGACTGATTCCTCTTTGCCCCCCCCCCACGCGCAAGTCACTCAACTCACACAAACTTGTGTCATGCCGTGTCGTGCGTGCGTGCAGAGCGTGTTCCGCTCGGTGAAGCTGGAGACGTCGGATCTGGACTTACCCGACGAGTGCATAGTGGGCATCGGCATCCCCGGGCTGTCAATCTACGATCCCGTCTCCCAGTAATTTAGCCACACACACACACACACACACGAAACACGTGCGTGCGGTATTGACAGAGCTCACCACTCACTACCCGTGCCGCCTCTTAGGCAAAAACTGCGGCGCATTCCCTACTGGGACGTGTGCGAGATCAGCTTCACCGTCAATTCCTGCACCCTCACCACCAAGGCCGAAATGGGGGCGATCAATGTTCTGGCTGCGAGAGGATTCTTGGTACGTAGTTTGCTTGGGTCCGCGGTGTGGGTGGGTTGACGAAGCTAGGCTCATGCTCTTTCTGGACGAACGACGTTTGTTGTTCACAGGGTGGCGCGGGCTGTGGTGACTATCTGCCGTAGAGACCGGAGCCTTCTTTCGTTCCACAAGGGCGAGATCGTCACCATCATTTCCAGGGATGCCTCCGGATGGTGGAAGGGCAAAATCGAAGGTAAGCCGTCGGCAGACATCATGTGGCTCATCAGCGTCACTGACACACACCACACACGCACGCACGCACGCACACACGCACACACACACGCACACACACCCCTACCACACTTTAATTGTGTTTCTTTCGCTCTCGCGGTGCTGCGAGCACAGACAAGGTCGGCCAGTTCCCCAAGGACAACGTGGAGGTCCTCATTCTCAAACCGGGCAGCACCGGCAAGGACTACGCCGAGTCGCCGCGCGCGCCATCCCTGAAACAGCGGCTCATGGTGCTGCACCACACACACACACACACACACACACCACACACACACTACACACACTTAACACGTGTTGACTCACCCAATGTAGAACGGAGGACTGGCCAGCAGCGACGAAAGCGAACAAAGCGGTGCGTCTGGCCGATCTGAGCCAACAAGCCACGCGGCGATGGTGACGATCAACGATGCTGACGTGGCCGTGTCATGTTGCGTGTCGTGTCGTGTCGTGTCGTGTCGTATCGTGCTGTGTGATGTGTACAGGCGGTGTGGCCAAGCCCACGGAGATGAAGGGAGTGGCGCGCATGAACAGCCGGGCCTACTATCAGCAGTTGAACTCGAGCGGCGGCCTGGCCGACACCGACACCCGCACCGTCTACGCGCCGTCGAGCAACGTCAAGCGCTACCCGCTCGCCGAGTACGCGACCAAGCACTTCAACATCGAGGAGCGCACCAAGGAGGAGAAGATCAACCCCACGCCGGGCATGACGGCCGCCGACGTCCTGACCACCTACTCCGACAGCCCGCTCAAGTGCCCGCTCCACAAGGGGCTCGACGAGGCGTCGGTCAAGATCGTGATTGACATCTCCGTGTTCATCATGCAGTACATGGGCGACTATCCTTCCAAGAAGACCCCCTACGGTACCACACACAACACACACACACAACACACACACAACACACAACACACACACACACACACGTTGGGGGGCTCACATTGTATTGTCTTTTCGTGTGCGTGTAATTCAATCCCACATAGTTGATGACCAAGATCTGTCAGCCCGGCATCGACAGGCCCAACATTAGGGAGGAGATCTTTTGCCAGATGCTCCGGCAGACCAACAAGAACCCCAAGCCGTACGCCCCCCCCCTCTTAATCAACTCTTTCCGTCATCAGCTGCAGCCAATTTCCCCCCCCCTACTTTCGCTGACGGCCAACCGACGACGCGCACACACCACAGGGCGAGCCAAGTGAAGGGACTGGAGCTGATCTCGATTTGCTGCGGTCTGTTCAACCCTTCGCGCGCGCTCGGCCCCCTACCTGCTCGACTTCCTGCACCTGCACACCAAGCTCACGCCGGACGACTGCAAGAACGAGAAGGTGCGCACAGGTATGTTACCTCTCGCGGTCCCGTAGTCTTCTTTCGTTTCGTTCTTTTGTTTCGTTTCGTTCTTTTTGCAGCTGACGCACGAGTGCGCTATATTGTTGTGTGGTCGACACAACACGACAGGACTTGTCGCGCCTGGCAGCCTCGGGCGTGGGCCGGCTCGATCGTCTGCGAGCCGCCGGCGCGCGCCACTTTGCGCCCTCGCAGGTCGAGTTCGCGGCCATTCGGGTAACGCTCCACACCGCAGACGGCGACGCTCGAACCACTGAACTGAGCTGAACTGTTTTCATCGGTGCACAGATGGACATTGGTGCGGTCACCGCGGCGCGGCGATGAATGAGGGCATGCAGCAGAAGGAGATCGACGGCCGCCAACTCGTCGCTCTTGGCCGACCGGTAAGAACGCCCTCAACGTCCTCAACGTGACATGGGGCGCGGCAGCTTCACCGTCTCGGCCGCTTACAACAACTGCAGCTCGTCGTCGACGCCACCTCCCACATTGGTCGCCACCACATCCCACCCACCAGAGGCGCGTTGTCGGGTCCGCACGGATCATGGCGCGGCGGCAGCGCCAGGGCGACGGCTGCGGCCCAGGCCGGCGCCACCCTGCGACGGACCAGCTTCTCCAATGCGCCGGGCAATGGCCGCCACCACGACTCCTTTGACGATCGCGTCCACCACCACCACCACCGGCTCAGCCCCCCCCCCGAACGCCGTACGTGTGTCGTGTGTCGTGTCGTTGGTCGTGTCTTCGCGAGTGCTGTCTTGATGATGTGGCTCTGTGCTCACTTGCGGGCGGACGGTGCAACGCAGATGCGTGCGAAGCGGACGCGCGTGCGATTATGCGGTGTGCGGTGTGTGCGGTGTGTGCGTGTGATGAGCAGACAAGGAGGGCGGCTCTACGGCAAGCTGTCGTCGTGGGATGCCTACGCGCCCGTGAGTACGGCGGCGCTGGTGCTGACCCTGTGGGACGACATCGACTCCGCTGCGCCACAGCGCCTCCACGGTGCTCGCCGCCTTCCCCTCGCCCCTGCCCGGCTTCTCCGACGACCCGGCCAAGGTGGCCTCGCTCATGCGCTGGGCGCTCTGGATGATGAACTCGCCGCCCCGCGTACGCCTTACATTCCACCACGCACATTCCTTTCCAATGGTCAGCTGCAGTCACTCACCGTGTGGCGCGTGTCGTGCCGTGCCGTGCCGTGCCGCGTGTGCAGACCCGGGAGACGGATACCGAGCTGTCTGGTGTTCAGGCTCATCCTCACCAAGTAGTATGTGCTGCCCCTGGGCTGGTACACATCCAGGTGAGGCGAGGAGTCCGTCACGCCGCATCTGGCCCACTCGCTCCCTCCTTCAACCCGCACGAACGAATGTACGCCACAGAATTATTTATTTATTTATTTATTTATTTATGTATTATTATTGGTGTCATTTCAATTATTATTATTATTATTATTGAGCGGTTTAAGGTGGCGCTCACTGAGCCAGGCGTGTGTACACATCGCAGTCGCAGCGCCGTCGCAGTTCTTCTTCAGCGAAACGATCAGTCAGCTGGAGCGCCACATCGCGTGCGCGTCGGTGGACCACCTGGTGGGCGCGTCGCAGCGCACGCCCATCCACGGCCCGGCTGCTGGCCATCCGCTACACATGATCCAGGACGTCAACTTCAAGACCCTCAAGGCCACCAACGTCGACGCTTCGACCGACGGTGGTGGATCGAAGCAGATCGCCGACTGGCGGCGCCTCCTGCTCGGCCGCCTGCTGGCCTGCCTGACCCGCAAGGCCACCAACCTCGTGCTGCCCATCACGTGTCCGCGAGCATCAGCCCCCGAGGGCCTCACCTCCGCCCAGACCATCCCCGAGGTCCGAACTCACCGCTCGCACCTCCACACCAGCGCACCGCCATATCTGACGCGTGTCGCGTCGTGTGTGACGTGTGTGTGTGTCGTGTGTCGTGTGTCGTGCGCCCAGGAGTATGAGGTGAGTGGCGTGATTGGGGGCGAGAGCGACATCGAATACCGGGACGCCGCAGGGTCAGTACCTGGCGGTCTGCGCATGGCTCTCCATCAAGGAGGTGGGCCTCCTGCTCGGCTCCCTCGTCAACGCCGTGCCCGTGCCCTCGCCCAATCAGAAAAGAGGTAGGTAACAACCCTCCTCGCCGCCCCATTGGGCGCCGCCTTAACATGAAAAACACTCACGAGGTGGTGGTGGTGGTGCAGGTGGGTGATGGCCGAGAAGGGCATCAAGGAGGCCGGCGACCTGTGCATGCACATCATGCTGTCCTCGCGCCACAGGGGCGCCCTGGAGAAGTCGTACCTGGGGGCTTCCAGGCCCTCTCCGAGAACCTCCTGTCCTGCGCCCACCCCGGGCTCTACTCCCTCCCCGGCACCTGGATTCAAGTACCTCTTCTCCACCGCACGCACACAACACACACACACACACACACACACAACACGACTAATAG